TTAACTTGAAGATCAGCTGGGGAAGGGTCAACCCTGTCGTTATGACATTGAATCTTCTTGTTCACGAACATGCTATAATCTTTTATATTTGTATCTTTATGTCTTTCTTGCACGTCTTTTTAAAAATGTAGTTATTGGTAGAGAAACCATTCTGTCCACTGTTACTGATAATGAAGTTGGTACTGAGAGCAATTAATGTGCTTCTCTTACATTCATTAAGCTAGAAAGTGAATAGGACCTAACCCAGTTCCTAACCCACAGCATCTTTCTCCATCCCATTCTGCTTCATTTAATTTGAACCATGCAATTTGGACATATCATGGATCACATCTGCCAAGCATAATGGCTGGACACTGTTATATCTAGATATGTTGCACTTTGCATATTCCGTGGATACGCTCCCCAATCTCCCGCCCCCTTGGGCATGAACAACATGCCCATTTATGAAAGATAACATATGAGATTGGAAACCTCATTTCCTCTACCTCTCGCCCTGCACGCTTGTTTGTGGGGAAGTCTTTAAATCATTTTTGAAACGGTCCTTTGTCTTTCTGTCAGCCTTTGAGTGGGAGAAAACAGACAGATTTGTCAGCAAGAAGAGTGGTTCTTACACCAAGAATGGCTTGAATTTTTCAGCCAGTGTTTACAAAGTGAGCTTCTGTGCACACTAATCACGGCTAATGTCCCCTTGTTGACGAGCAATAACCCTGGCCTGCCGACACAGCTGGAGATCCTACTTACCTGCCAACTCCAGCGCGGCTTGGCTGTAGTGACAGATGGGAAATCAAGGGAGCTCCATTCATGAATAAGAAATAAAGAGTATATGAACTTTTGAGAATACCAGCTGCCCTCATTCCAGAAGGTCACTGAGGGTAATAAAAGATACAGACAACTACAAAATAAGTGTAATGGGGATATAAAACTGTATTAAACAATAAACACAGACTGTAGCCATTCCCACCTTTGGGGAGGCGTAATGACATTCTGTCTATCAGTGGGAAACAAATCTCTAAGTGGCTTTGTGCCATTTCAGAGACTGGCGGTTGGGGCAGCCCAAGAGTGCAGGGACATGGGGGACTCCGGAGAGAGACAGGAGCTCAGTAACAGTGAGGAGAAGCCTGCTGGGAAACGGTGGTGGGTAGCTGGCAAGTGTGGAAACCTGTCACCAAACCTCCAGTGGCATCTGCTCTTATGCGCTCGCAGGAGTGGTGAACTCAAGGAAAATGGGGTGGGCTTGGGGGCTCACTGGGCTGGGAGTGGAAGGAATAGAGAGCTGTAGGAAGCGAGATAGGAAGGGCGAGAGCTCAGAGGGGCAGAGAGGAGCATGCCAGCCTCCTGGAACTGGTAGAATTCACAGGACAGGAGTTTAAACCAATCTGATTTGAGTCTGAATGTATAGGATGATCTCACCTGCCTCAACAAAATTGGGCCCTCAGACGCAGTGGCTCACGCCTGTAATCCTAGCACTCTGGGAGGCTGAGGCTGGAGGATGCTTGAGGCCAGGAGCTCTAGACCAGCCTGAGCAAGAGTGAGACCCCTGTCTCTACTAAAAATAGAAAGAAATTAGCTGGACAACTAAAAATATATAGACAAAATTAGCCGGGCATGGTGGTACATGCTTGGAGTCCCAGCTACTCAGGAGGCTGAGACAGAAGGATTGCTGGAGCCCAGGAGTTTGAGGCTGCTGTGAGCTAGGCTGATGCCATGGCACTCTAGCCCGGGCAACAGAGTGAGCCTCTGTCTCAAAAAAAAAAAAAAAAAAGAAAAGAAAACATTGGGCCCTGACTACCAGTCATGACTCAGCTTTTAGGTATTAAATATATCAAAACAAAAACTTCAGGAGATGAGACTGGAATAGCTCTCTGAAGACAGAAGGACACTGGAGGGAGTGCCATGGAGGGAAAGTCACACTAAAGACCCTGTGTTTGAGTTTTTAATAATTTTTTTTTAAATTTTGAGCTCTTCTTTCAGTTATTTACCACCTCTTTTTCTAAATGTTCTTCCTTCTGACAGGAAGTGCCCTGCACCTGGTTAGTCCACCAACAGCTTCCCCAAGCCAAAGCCCCCAACCAGGGTCCACCTGGAGCCTTGCATTTTTGTCCACTATAAAGCCTTCCCACTCCTCTGTCAAAAGGCAAGTGATGTAGCTGACTCTCTTGTGACAGAGAGTAACAAGCTCTGAATAAGCAGCCTTCATCTGTTCTTGCTCTGTTGGTCTTTTCTTTCTGCAGTCTTTCTCTCCCGCCTTTCCACCTGTTATGAACCAAATGTTTGTGTCTCCCCAGCATTCATTTTTTGAAGCCCAAGGCCCTAATGTGATGATATTTGGAGTTGAGACCTTCGCGGTGTAATTAGGGTTAGATGAGGTCATAGGGTGGAGTCTTCATGATGTGACTAGTGGCCTTATAAAAAGAAACATCAGAGAGCTTGGGCTGTCCCTTCCTGCCATGTGAGAACACAGAGAGACGCCATCTGTCTGCAAGCCAGGAAGAAAGCCTCACCAGGAAATGGACTGGCTGCCACCTTGGTTTTGGACTTCTCGGCCTTCAGAACTGTTTCTGTTTTTTAAGCCACCCAGTCTATAGTAGTTTGTTATGGTAGCCCAAGCAGACTAGGACACTGCCTATCCCCTCTGCTCCCCTCCAACCAAAGCTCTGGACCTTCCTAAACCCTCTGGTCCCACCACACTTGGCCTGTCCACCATCAAACTCAGCTCATGCCCTCTGTTAAGTGACTTCCCACATAATCAGTTTATACTAGTATATAAGGTACATTACTCACTCCGGGCAACAAATGTACTCCTCCTGGGCTCTCCTAGGGATAATATCTACATGAAAAAGGACTGGCTCATTGATGTGACTTTCAGGTGTCATGGGCAGCCCAGCAAGGAGAGAACTGAAGGCAGGCAGAGCATCTGTGACAACTCTTGTATCAGCCTCTGGTGCTTCCATTGCCTGTGGCACCTAGTCTCATACCTGTGTATCAGAATATATCTCATCTTGGCGATTACCCATTCACTGAGCATGCTAGTTTTAAACTTGTAGAAGTTTAGGATTCATAGTGTCAATAAATACATATATTATCAGTCCCAGCATGGGGCCTTATAGGGTCTAAGCATGAAGTTTACACAGAGACGTGCATCAAAAATGTACTTCTTTGTAGGGGTTGAGTTGACGATTTAAAAAAGTAATATCTCATATATATACAGCTAGAATAATATTGGCTGTTTATCAGGCTAAGGGGCCACTGGGCTATTGTTTCATGTTATACAATTTATGTAATTACAGAAAATGTTAATATATGGTTAAATGGGGGGAAAAAATAAAAACGAAGTAAAATTTTATCACTCAGAGATAATCACTATAACATTTAGTATTTGACCTTCCTGATATTTTCCATCTCTCTGTCTAGCTAGCTATCATCTACCTACACATGCACATATATTCTACTATATATTGTATATGCACATATTTAGAAAAGTGATACCATATTTTCTTTTTCTTAACCTAATACAGTGCAGACATTGTTCTATAAGTATAAATATACTCAACAATTTTTACAGCAGCTGTCATATTTAATTGCATGGCTATATAATTATACTCAGTCCCTCATTGTAGGGCATTCAGATCTTTTTCAATTTTTCCTCATTATAAACAATGACTTATATTTTCTTTCCTTTCTCTTTCTCTCCCCCTCTCTTACTCCTGACATACAGGAGAACACAGAATTGAACTGAATTCAGTTGGAGACACCAAGACATACACATCTCTACTCATTCTCCTGGGGAATTAGACAAAGACCATCAGTGGCCAATAATACTTGAGAATCCTTTTGGCTTCGAGAGGCAGAAAACAAGCTCAGTCTTGGTCCAATAAAGGTATTAGCTCAAAGTGTGAAAAGATGAGGACTTAGAGAGGATCCTGTCTATCCTCTTATTTTAATCTTCTGGAGCCCAGAGAGGTTACATGGCTATGCAAGGCAGCACAGCTTGTAGTGGTACATCTGGAACAGAAAGCAGCTCTTCTTATTCCAGACACGTGTGTTATAGCTTGTTGTCCTCATGTGAGTGCAAGTGGGTGGGTGTATGTACATGTTTGTGCACCCAAGTATGTGTGTGTATTTGCTGTTTGTTTGGAATGCTCAGGGAAGTGGAAGCAAAAGAACAATTTCTAGGTCAAAAAAAGAAAGAGAATGGGTGTTTGGAGGTGTGTGTATTTGTGTATATTTTGGTGTATGTGAACATTTGTTACGTGTGTGTGCGTGTGTGTGTGTGTGTGTGTGTGTGTGTGTGTGTGTGTTCATATGCAAGGGGAATGGGAGGGCATGGACTTTGAGCAGAGCCAGTCTCCTGCAGAGCTATCATGTTATAATAAACAGAAAGTTAGGTGCCCTTTCCTCTCCTTTCCCACACTTTGGTTTGCTGTATTTTCTCCAGGTTGACTCACTCTATTTTCACTACTTTCATCTCCAGTAGTGTTTGCCTGGGTAGTAGGGCGGCACTACAGGTCTCAGAGCCTGTCCTATAGGTTTACTGGAAGGAATCTGTAGGCAGTTGCAGGCTCAGTCTGGTTTGAGCTGGTGTGTTGGGGCAGCAGGGAAAGTAGGGACTGTGCCTTGCCTGGCTTAGAGTCCAGGATCATTCTATGGACAGATGGCAGATTGACCCATCTGTAAGTTCAAGCCAGATAGGAAAGTCTATCCTCGTGTTTGCTGTATGTGTGATATCCTCCTCAAACAGTCTCCCTGCTCAGATCCCAGCTCAAAGGCTGCTTCAAGACACTCTCTGCGGACTCTCCCAAAGTCCCCCCTTCCTTCTTAGGGAGGTCATGTAGGGAAGAGAGAGCCTGCCTGGGATAGATGTTAGTGGGTCTGGTATGCAGACTGGGTCCTGATAGAATCCTGGGCTCATACATGCAGGAAGCCCAGCTCACATTTGCTAGAGGAAAATCCCTGCTGGAGCAAAATTCGCCACAAGTTTGCAATGCACATCAGAGACTTACCTGAGCAGTTGGAAATCACTGTCTCATGGGCTTTGCTCTTAATCCAAATAGTTCGGATCACAATACCATAGATGACGCTGCGGAAAAGACCAAAGGAAATATTAAAATAGCCGGTGGATCCCTACTGTGAGGATAGAGAGAACCATTCCCACTTGCCTGAGTGTGAGGGGTGGAGAGAGGGATCCCTTAACCACACCTGCCCCCATACTTGTGGACTGTAGAATTATAGCCAATAAAAACTGAAAAGCACCCTAAAAATTAGCTGGATGGAGCAAGTTCTGTCTTAAGCGAAAAGGCTAGAACCTGGTGACGTTAAGCAACTTCCTCAATGTAACCCAGATGGTTGGAGGTAGAGCCACGATTAGAATCCAAACACAGTCTTTGTGGTCAGAAAGACCTAGATCTGCTCTACCACTTGGCCTGCTGTGTGACCTTGACTTTGGACAGTTTCTAAGGTGGCATCTGCTGATCCCTGCCTCTGGTTTTCGAGCCTGTGTGTGATTCTCTCCCCTTGACTGTGGGCAGAGCCGGTAACTTGCTTCTAATCAATGCAATATGGCAAAGGTGATGGTGTAAGATACTGGGCTATAAGGACAATGGACACCTTCCAGCTTCTGTTTACTGCTTGTTTGCTAACCGCAAGGCATTATGAGTACATTATGGGATGCAGAGGAAAAAGACAAAGAATGCAGAAACCGGAGTCTCTCAGCTAGGACCCGGAACAGGTTAGAGCCTATCAGGGGCAGGATGAAGTAAGAATCACTGTGGGGGCGGATGCACGACCAGTGTGTAAACAACCGAGTTATAAAAAAGGGACTAACACACAAAGGAGGGTCCCTGCCTGGAGAAGAGGCCACTGTGCTGGCACTCTGGGGGCTCGGACCCTAGCTCGAGCTAGACAGTAAAACTCCTTTTGATAATTACAGCCTTGGTGACTCTGTCTCTCTGTCCTGCAGCCTTGCAAATCTCGAATATAACAATGGGACATGTGTGATTATGTAGAATGTACAGCCTGTCTCGCTAGAGTCGCTCTTCATTGCTGACTTTGAAGAAGCAAGCTGCCACCAATCCAAATCCTTCAGCCACAAGGAAATTAATTCTGCCAAGAATCAGAGGGAGACTGGAAAGGATTCTTTCCCAGTCCAGCCTCTGATGACACCTTAGCCCTGGGTAACACCTCAAGGCTGCCTTGCCCAAGCAGAGGGCCCAGTGAAGCCATGTGTGGACCCTCGACCTACAGAATCTGTGAGATAATAAGTGCGCATTGTTTTAAGTCACTAGGTTCATGATAATTTGTTATGTAGCAATAGGTAACTCATACACTGAGCTTTAGCTGAAATTCTGTCAAATGGAGTTAATAATACAAAACCTTTCAAAGTTTTTGAGTATCAGATGTGACAATAGTTAAAGTGCTAAGTTCAGTGCTTGAAAAATTAGTGGAGACTTAAAAAAATGTTATATCCTTTCCCCTCTTTTTTGCTCATTTTCCACAGTATATCACATCAATTCTTGCATGATATAATCTGTGCCTAACAAAGTGTTAATGACCCAAAAGCATCAGCAAATTTTGTACCCTATGTCCTCTTTGATAAATGTAAAAATTTATACTCTTCTTTAACATCACTTGACATTTTGAATATAAGCACCTTGAATAAAAGCTTTTGGGACAAATCAGTGCTTTATTTTAAAACTGCACAACTTTCCCTCTTGAGAATCATTAGTTAAAAAAAAAAAAATCAGAGCTCCAGTTTGTAGTAGCTGACAAAGCACTAACTGCTTTTAATGATCTTTAGAATATAACTTAATTAATGACAGTGTTAAAGCTCTGCTTCTCACTGCTTTTTCCCATTCTTGCTCAGCGAAACCCTCTGAGCGCTCCAGGAAAGCTCGGGGCCTTTTTGGAGCATTTCCATTCTTTCTCATATAACTGCCCAGGGACTTTTTTGAAATGTGTATGCCTGCAGTAAAGAAAAAATGAGAAAAAAGTTATTGGTGAGTTCAACCCTAAGTTGAATATTTTCTAGAACATGGAAAATTCTTTCCCAGATAAATGAAATACTATACAAGGTAAGGTTGCATCCACCAGGAAATGTTAACAGTGTATGATGTGACAATTGCAACCTCAGTATTTAATTGATCAATAATTGAAATATTTATTGACCATCCACCACATACACAATTGAAAAGTTAAGAAAGGTCTTTTGTTTTAGAGATTTGGGCCCAAGTCAAACCCTTTTTTTTCTTTTTTTTTTTTTCACTTTCAGATGAGTGAAAAGCCAGTCCCAGGTCTTCTGTTAGCTTGCCAAACACCTAATAATCCGGGTGCCCCTAGTGTTTATTGCCCAACCCAGGCTACTTCTTAGAGTGTAGCAGTCATGCACCAGAGAGACCCCAGCATTACGATTTGTCTCCTCCTTTCTTCTTTCCTTCATCTAATTAATCAGCAAGTTCTGTGGGTTGTCCCTTCAAAATGATTCCATAATCTGTAACTTCTTCTGCATCCAAGGCTCTTCAGCATGAGTTCAGACCCTTGCAATCTTTCTTTTTTTCAGTTTGATGACTCCTTTAGTTGTGGTGAAATATACATGAAATTTGCCATATTAATCATTTTTAAGTGTATAGCTCTGTAACATCAAGTGCGTCTACATTGTTAGGCAACCTTCACCACCCTCTGTTTCCAGAACTTTTCCATCTTCCCCAGCCGAGAGACTCTGTCCCCATTAAACACAAAACGTATGGAATGTTTAATGAATTTGTATATCATCCTTGTGCAAGGGCCATGCCAATCTCTGCATCATTCCCATTTTAGTCAATATGCTGCCAATACAAGCACCTCTTATAGCCTCTTGCCTAATTATTGTCATAGTCTTCTAACACTCCCAGCCTGCCACCATGTCCAGTGCATGGGCTCTAGGATAGAGCACCATTCCCTGGCTTAACCACTGCCCCCACCCCTAGCAGGCCCCGTTGCCCATAAGATGCTATCCAGTCTCTTCAGTAGGGCATCCAAACTCCCACAGTCTTCCTCTCCTTCACCATCACGATTCTGCCTCCCTGAACCCACTGCCTCTCCACACACCTTTCCCCTGTGTGGTCAGCCACCAGGAGCAGGCCAGCCAAACCAACCCTGACTCCACACTTCGTATGCAGTAGACTTCGGGTGAATGTGAGCTCCAGGGCTTTTCTCTGTACCTGCTCTGCTCTCCCTGTCTGGCATGCATTTTGGTCCATTTTTAGTCCATTTAGGCCACACACCACTTTGCTATGAAAACTTCTTGAGCTGCCCTGTTGCTCCTCAGTGACCAGCTCCCCCTTATTGGGGCCTCCATGCTGGGAGAACCCTCCTGGCACTGGGTCTTGTCTATGGCGGTCATGTCTCAAGGATCACGTGAACCCAGAGTAGCCCATTCTCATAAACAGAGCTAAGGAGAATCATCCTCACTTTCTTGGGTGCAGCTTCCTCCATGTCTTTGTTCTATTTTCACTCTTTCAACAGGTCTGGCTTTTCTTGAAGCTTCTTAGAAATCTGCAAACCGAAGTCATGCTCAGATTGAGAAGGGTACCCCTCCCTTGTAACTGGCCAGTTTATTTCCTGACTTCATGGAAAACGATCCAAACACAGACCTGTTTTCCTTCACTTCCTTCATGGAGGTGGCTCACGGCAATGGGAGAATGTGGAGCCCTAGGAACCAGAGCAAGGCCTGCAGGACTGTCCAGGAGAATGCTAGAAGCTGCGTCCTGAGTCTCATTTCTGGATCATGTGGGAGAAATGTCCTGGAAACTGAACAAATGGTTTGCTCCCCCCATAAGATGCAACAGGGAGAGAGCCACTCAGAACATAAATGCCTCTTTCATAACCGGCTCAGGGCTCAGCACAGGCTTGGGGACTTGAAGGACATCCACCACAGTCTTGGAGCTGTAGACCTCACAGCCAGTGAGGGCCTAAGCTCCCATCCCTGCAGGCTGGATTTCCCGACCCCCCCACCGGGCCTGAGTGTGACGTGCAGCTGTGCTCTGGAGATCCCACCAGAGGCTGCACACCCTGCAGGAACCAGATCACCCATGGCCTTGTGGGCTGGGCTAGAGAATTTGCACTTGATCCTGGAACAGTGAAAACTCACTGATGGGCTCTAAGCAGGAAGGAAAAATGATTGACCCACTTTTTTTTGTTGTTCAAGGATCAGACATTGTTCAACATTTATAATTTCTTTTCATTTGTGTATAAAAAAGAAAAATTACACATGTATATGCTGGTGTATAAAGTGAACACTCCTGGAAGGGCATTCAGGAACATTTTACGGTGCTATTTCTCAGCACTGGGACAAGGGGAGGAGTGGAAGGAAGATTTTAAATTTTCGTTTCATAGACTTTTGCATGCTTAGCAATTCTCCACGAAAATGCTGGCTCTGGTTGTGGCATGGGGCAGGGATTGAAACAGGGTAGTTATGGACTCTAAAGTTAATGACTCTCAGTAGGTCAAATGAATTCGCTGATGTCTGGAACCAGCAAGTGTGAATGGTGGGTAACAGTCAAGATGTTTTTGGTAGCAAGTTACAGAAAACTCCCAGCCCAAATTGGTTTAAGCTATTTGAATATTTCTTATCTCCCATAATTGCAACTTAAAAAGTAGGGCGAGGCCAAGGCTAAACTTTAAATAGCTGGGCTTCTTTCAATCCCTCCTTCTTTTCTTTTCAGAGTAGGTGTCTTCCTAGCTCAGGCTCTAGCACTTCCAGGCAAAGCAATATCCAGAAGGAGAGAAGACATTCTTTCTTGAGGATAGAGAAACCTTTTCCAAGATCTCTTCCTAAGACACTCCTTCATATCCTCCTGGTCAGAACAGGATCACACGGCCACTCTTGAGCTACTCCCATGCCACAGAGAGGGGCTGCCTTGAGTGTTTAAGAGAGGAAGTGGAATGCATGCTGGAAATTCAACCACAAATTTCTATCATAACTTAGCAATGCAGTGAGAAAGGTTTTTTCAAAAGACATACCTTTTGCCACCTCTCAGGTAACAATATATAGGATGTCACTTCCTTTCCTGATGTGATGAGTTGCCTCAGGTTCTTGTCATCCTCCACGGCGTTGGACCTCATGCCCATGGACAGAGCTGGCCAGGTCCCTGTGGCCCTTAGACCCGCCCTGGCTGCACACCCCATCCCCAGGGCTGCATGCATCCGGCCTGGGGCTCTCCTACAGTGTGATCTCCATTTCCCAAGCAAAATAAATGGATTTTCCTCGCATATCACAAATCAGTGCTCCATGACTAATGTGCTTTTTTTCCACTCATTCTTTTGCAATTGTCGGCCATGGATCTTTTCTGCCTCTACCTTTATGTTACAGAGATAAAAATGATAGGAGGATGAGAAATCAATTAAGTAGCAAGAAAATAAGCACAGCTAAAGCAAAGTAATTACACCAAGGCTAATAACCTGCTCAGCAACAGTTAGACAGTTACATCAACTGAATTTTGAAACAACAGGAGTTGTTTTGCCCCAGAAAGACAATGTATTGCCTTTGCTGTCAGTCACTGTGGTTTCGAGCCCTGGGAGCCTGAGTTAGTTGATGGTGGAACAGCTACATCTTTATTCATGCACAGCCTTCATGAGAGCTGGCCACAGATGGTACAACTCCTTCCTCTCTCCTTCCTTCCCTCCCTGCCTTTCTTCCTGCCCCCTCCTTTCCTTTCTCTCTTTCCTCTTTCCTCTCGCATATATTTAGGGAGGAGCTATCATATGCCAAAAATTGATCTAGACACTATATAGCCAGGCATTTATATATTAGGGGCATGTGTGCACGTGTGTTTGTGTGTGTGTGAGAGAGAGAGAGAGAGAGACAGAGAGAGAGAGAGAGGGACACGACTTATCTGTTGTGTGACTGGTGCAGTTTGTCAGCCAGGCCTGCCTTGTTTACTCAGTCTAACATTTACCAGGTGTCTGTTGAGTGCTGGATTGGCACTTGGAGTCCCTGCACTCATGAGATACAGCCATGCAAGCAGGTGATTACACTATTTCGAAGTCTTAATGACATGGACAAAGCGATGTTAGTGGTTAGGGAGTGAAGCCCTGAGGTGCCACTTGGCCCAGGCTTAGCAAGGACAGCTCCACTGTGGAGCTGGTATTAGAAACGAGACACAAAGGATGTGAACCCATTTGCCAGACGCAAGGCAGGGGGAGCCTGGCAGAGTGTTCAGGCAGGAGGAATGATGTGCCCAGGGCACAGGGGCGAGAGGAGCGCAGGTGTTCTGGAAACAACGAATGGCTTGCTACCTGGCTGAGGCTATCAGTGCAAGCAGCGGGTGACAGTGGCTCCCCTTGGAGTACCCAGGGAGTTTTTGAAAAAGACAAGCTTCTTGTCTTAGCAGATATTAATGCATGCAAAGCTGCGACAAGTAAAACAACGTAGTATTCATGGTAGAAAAGCCATTAATCTGGTTATTTGTGCTTTTTCTCGTTTTCTTAATTATGTCAATTGCTAGTGAGTGAAAACAAAATAAAACCGTCTTCAATAGGTAATTTAGGGAATGGCAAATTAGGGAAATACTTGCAACATATAAAAAAAGAAAAGGCTATTGTTGAAAGAATATCTCTGAAGATACAGTATAGAGAAAATAAAAACATTCAAACAAGAAAAATGGGTAAAAAAGTAAAATTATTTAAAAAACAATAATAAATATACAAAATGTCTTTAACTTTATTTATACAGCAAGCATGAGAAGCAATGAGGCGCGGTACACAAAGTGAACATCTTCTTTGAGCTTTGTTTCCTTTGTCTACCTGAGCTTGGCATGAAGAGTTTAACCTAACTCCAAAGGGGCATATGCCATAGAATCAGCCCAGGGGGCCAGAGTATGAGAAATAGGAAGGAAGGAAGGAAGGAAGGAAGGAAGGAAGGAAGGAAGGAAGGAAGGAAGGAAGGAAGGAAGGAAGGAAGGAAGGAAGGAAAAGAGCTAAACCTTAGCTCTGAGGGAGATGACATTATAGCAATGCAGGCGGGAAGTAGTTGAAAAACAAGTTCCTCACAAAATTCCCCCAGGGCCTGGCCTTGGTTTGAGAAGGAGCTGCAGCCGCAGGAGGTGGGGGATGCTGTGACCCCCAGAGAAGTTCTTTCTTCGTTAGCAGGAGCAGCGCTCCCGCCCATGGAAGAGAGAAGGGAAAGGCCCAGCTGCCTCTAGCATGAGGGAGGTCCCAGCGGAGTTTCCAGTGGAGTTTCTGGTTCCGCCAAAGCCAGAGGCAAGGAACAAGGAGCAGGGCTTGCAAGGCCCTGAGTTCGACAGGAGCTGAGCAAAATCTGCCATTGAAATAATTTCCTTTCATCAGCAAACACATGAAGTTTTGCCTTTTCAAGGACACTAAAAAAACACGCACACGTTAGCCCGGAGGCGAATTTCCAAGAAGTCCTGGTGGAAGCAGCAGCCTGAATGCATGGGGCATTGCCGACTCAGGCCATCCTGAACCTCTGCTCTGCAGAGCATGGCTTTGCCTGGAGCCCATGTCCTGAGCTGATGATGGGAAGTGAATCAGGAGTGACTGACGCCAGGACAGGTGCCGCCACTGAGATCGTCGCCTCCCATTGCCTGTGATGGCCGGAGCTGCTTCCTTTCTGATGCATCTCTCCCTCCTCCTCTGACATGTCCCCTCCCTACGCTGCTGTGACTTACCTTTGATCGGCTGTCTAAATAACTTTCTTCTCCCTCAAGCTTCCTCCCAAGCTTCACTCGGTGGACAGGAGGGCAGTAAGTTGAGATAAAATGTAGGTGTTAATTTGTCCACCCGGCAGAGATGACTGGCTGCTGTCTGGCTATTGGGGTCACTCTGTTCCTGCCCAGCTCACCCCTGATGGGGAGGAAGTCACGTAGCTTCTTTGAGCCCTAAGGCTACTCTTGTGAAAAATTCAGAGGTTGGACCACATAATGGACAACATTTCTCCCAGCTTTAGTATTTTATGAGACTACAGATGAGTAATGAGCAGAAAAGGTGACTCCTGTAATGTCAGACAGCACTTGAAAAACACTCAACCACCTTAATCATCAGAGAAATGCTTATTAAAACAAAGAGATACTTTTTTTTTTAAACTCTCAGGTTGGGAAAGATTTAATAAAGAAATGATAATACCTTCCGTTGGATCAGGGGAGGAAGAAAGAGCCCTTGTGTGGTGTTAGCTAGAATTTACCTTTTCTAGAGGGCAGGTTGTGAATATGCATCAAAATTCTTAAAACGAGCCTCATCTTTGTTCTAGCAATTCCATCAGAATAAGTTATGAGGAAATAATCAGAGAGAGATTCACGTGCAATGTTAAGTACGAGGATTTTTTTATCGCAGAACTTATTTATATAATAAAAAACCAACAGCTGAACTTCCTTCGCCCCTGACATGTGCCACACCATGGCAGGCTGGAGAGCACTCAAAACATGCAGATCAGCGTGGCCCAGGGACACAGTCAACCTGCCAGGTCTCTCCCCACAGTCGCCCACCCCATGCACACATGCAGAGCCCCTGTCCCAGAAGGTGGCCCTGCCACATGGCCAAGTGAAACCTGCCTTGCCCAGGTGGCTGTGCTCAGCTCTGCTGAAAGACCAGCTGTGGCTCACCACCGGCTACAGGACCAAGGGGACATCCTGTGGCTTGGCTGCCAAGGCCCTTCATAGGTGAGCCTCCCCCAAGCCACCGGAAGGAGCCTGTCGCCAGCTTCTGTCCCACTGACACTGCTGACCTGTCCACTCACTGCCCCCACACTCACTCCAACCTCTGGCCATCACAGAGCCTGCTTCCTCCTCACCTTTCCTTATCCCACCTGAATCCTTCCCTTCTCCCATGGTGGCTTCCAGGAGGTGATCCTTGCCATTACCTGATTCTACCATACACACAGTCTAGCGTATTAGTGAGTACTGAGTTTTCTGATGAGTTTGTTTCAAGTATGTCTATCTCTTCATTAATAAGATCTCTGAAACTGGTATTTTGCCTTGCATTTGAAAGGCTGCATGGTATAGGAGAAAGAAGAAGTATGAAATCAGACCAACCTGGATTTCAGTCCTAAGTGATATGGGGTAATTTACTAAACCTCTCCAAGCTTGCGCTTCATCATTCATAAAATGGGGGCAACAGCAGTTATTTCACAGGCCTGTACTGAGGCTAACAGGATAACTATTAGCTACTTAGCACGTCGCTGCCCCTATAGCACGTACTCAGTATGTTCGAGTTCCCTCCTCCTTATTCTATTTCGAAGGAGTTGGGCTGAGCTCATGGTAGCTTTAGCTAAAATCCTGTGGCCTGGTGAGTTCCCCCAAGGGCACTAGGAACCATGAGTGACCTCATGGGAGGAGAGCAGCCACTGGCTAAGCAGGAAAGCCACCATGGGCATGGGTCTGGCCTGTGGCCTCTTACCTGATGATTGTCAGAGGGATGAAGTACACCAGGAAGGCCACGATGGTCATGTACGGGATCCAGTAGGAGTCATCAGGCCACAGGGCCCAGCACTGCACTTCGCCATTGGAGAGAGTCCTTTTCCCAAATATGATCAGAGTGGGAATGGAGAACAGGAAAGCCAGGATCCAGGCAATCATGATGAGCACTTTGGCTTGCTTTTCTGCTCAAAGAAAAGAAAGGATGCCTGGGTATGTGGAAACATCTTTTGGGAGCACAGTGGAGTCTAGTGTAGAGAATGACCACAGTGGGAAAGCCACCTGGGACCTCTCAGAGCCTTCCGGAGCCTTCACGGTTCCTCATGTGTAAGGAGGGATGATGGTACCTGCATATGGGATGGATGTAACATAGAGGGATGATATAAAGATGATAAAAAGAAGCTTGAACAGAAGCTAGCACACCATCTGGCATAAAGTTGGGCTGCCCAATTTCTATTCCACTTCCACTTCCCTGATTTGCCCACCCGACTTGAGATGCTGATGCATCCATTCCTACAGTGTTAGGGAGCTCAGTTGGCACCATGTGCATTTGATACGTTTCTGTGCAAATGCTGAGTTGTGTCCACCAACACGTGGTCTGCCTCTCTGGTTACAAGGCAGGGATATGGCATTGGGTCCATCTGGCATGCTTCCATTGTACTCAGCACTGCGGACCACGGGGACAGTCTTGGAGAGCTATCTGTCACATGGGAGGGAGACATCTTTTCTTGGTAGGAACATGGGTGGAATTGTGGGGCAGAGAAAGAACGCTGAACTTGGTTCTGGAGAGTAGGGCTTATTTCAGCCAAGTCCTGAAGCCTTGTGGCTATGACTCTACACGCTGGATTTGGGCTCTTTCAGTCGTAACTTTCTGACCTAGGCTAAACCACCTAGTCTCAGCCTCAGCTTTTCCACTTTAAAATGGGCTCAAAAAGACCTACTCTGGCCACCTCAGCAGGTCATGGGGCTGGGCCTGAGAGAGACAATTAACGTATGTGAAAGTGCTTTTAACAAAAACACCAGCCGTTACGAAGTGATGCTTTCTGTTAAGCTGTTGCTGGAGTTCTTTATCATCATCCGTTGCCTCGCCATGCCATCTGCACTGATCTGGTGCTGGGAGCCTCCTACTTGCAGAGACAGGACAGCACCCGGGCTCCCCAACTATCCAGTTGGAAAGTAGATGTGGGTCTTTGGGTGGGGCTGGAATGTCGAGTCAGGTGATTTCCTAGAATGGTGTGTAGGCTCTGGTCAAGGAGCTATAAGAACCAAGAAAAATTCTAGAAGAAACTAGGGATACTATTACAATTTTGAATCCTTGAGAGGATATCTAGGGTTCTCCTCTTGCTGAGTTATACACACTGGAAAGAGACATCAGACACATTCAGAAAAAAGTTGTTGCCGGCCCACTGAACAAGCAGAAATCTTGGGATAGAATTATAACAGCAGGTGGACTAGATCTTCTCCTTGTCCCTTTACACATGTCAGTCATCCAGTGGGGGTGGTGGTTCTCCTGCTCTGGTCTGAAAACTCAGGCCAGCCCCTTGATGTCAGTGATAACTCATCGGTGATTTAAAAGTCCCACAGTCACTTTAAGTGATAAGCATTGCACCAGTTTAGTAACTAACATAAAAATTGGTAAAAGGCTAGATACCAATCAAAACTCAAAAGTACCAAGATGATTTCAAATTAAATCTTTTCTCCCCAGGTGGGCCTGTTTCAGGTAAGAACCTGGAGTCTGGGAAGGGGGACCAGCGCTCCTGCTCTCTATTCTCACCTGGTGTCTCTACCCTGTCCCCAGGTTGCTGACCACTTTGGGGCCTCTCTGGAGCTGGGGTGCAGGGAACAAGGAGGAGACAGGGGACAGGAGAGTTCTTCCTTCACTGATACTGTCATAAGACAGCTTTGTGCTCTCTGTGCCTGGCTGCTGTCTAAAGCTGATTCTTGGTCTTCTGAAGAACTTTTCTGGGTTCTTTGGAAACCCTCCTGTGGGGTTTCTGGATTGTCACTTGCTTGACTTGAGCAGTGCCCTTCCATTCCTTTCTGGTCACCTCCAGCCTCTTTCTTCTGAGGCTTGTCTGGCAGAAATATCTAGGGCAGAATCTTTTTGTAACACAGCCCATGCGAACTTCTCAATGCAGGTTCTACATCAGCCCCCTGGGCTAGGGCTGCAGGGCATCAGCCAGCCTGTCTTTAGCTTTGCCAGGTGTGAGCTAGTCATGGGTCCACAGTGCCCCCAAATGCAGGGACCACGTCAAGCTCCATGAATCATCTTCTGAAACCCCTCTTGCCAGACTTAAGGAGAGAAAGAATCTGAGAGATCTTGTGGTTGGATGGTTTGTCTATGTAGACATCAAAGTCACCCAGGGTGAGAACAGCATGACGGGTAAGAGAGAGGTTGAGAATAGTGCCAATATCATTGCTGGATGTGAGCTGTGTCCACCGGTACACAGACACAGGGGAGGCCTGGGAGAAGGTGGTCTAGACTGACAGCACCAAAGGAACAGAATGGACATGCATATACGACAATGGAGGGGACATGGTCCAGACATGGTCCAGAAAGGTAGGAAAATGCCTCCACCATCACCAGGCAATGAAGTACCCAAGGAGGAGGGCTGAGGATCACCATCATGAGAGATTTTAGGGACATTGGGCACCTCAAGAGGCTGGAGGTGGAGGGAACCTTCTGTGAAGAGGTTGGTGGCCTAGAAGAGTTGGTTCCTGAAGGAATAGAAAAAAAATGCAAAGTGGAGAGGAACAGTGAGAATTTGGATCAGGAAAGAAGCAGGATGGGATTACAAGAGCAGGAAATGTGGCCAGAGGGATTTTCTTCTTGATGGCAGGGTTGTGAACCCCAATGTGTTTCTGTGGACCTTGGCAATATTAGTAATTGCCTTTGTGTTGTCTTTCATGGGCTAGAATTCGAATGTCATCCCCTTCTTTAGGTCCTAAAGCCTAGACTTTTAAAGGCAACTTGTGACTCCTGGCCCCCATCCAGGTTCTACTCAATGGGTTAGCAGTGCCTTCACTTTTAAGAGGGATGGACATGGAAGCAATTGGATTAAAAGAATATAAAATTATGCTTTAGAATTAACTCTACCAAGATACCTAAAAATGTTTCCTCCAAGTCCCAGCTGGGTACAAGCTTGGAGCTGTTTTTTTCAGACTGCGTCTGGGATGTCTAGAGAAAGCCTCACTGTCTTGGGCTCTTACGTGGCCGCCATAGCAAGAAGACTCCTGGCCTTCCAGCCAGCTGGCCTGTTGCCATGTGGAATGACCAACTGCCCAGGGCTGAAGGATCTGGGATGGGAGAGACGAAATGCAGGTATGAGTGCTAATTGGACTGCCTCCTGTGTCTCTCACCCACAGAGAGTCAGATTCCTTCTCTCATCTGTTCTTGTCCAATTCTGTACCTGTCTACCTCAGCCTTCCTCCATTCCATGCACCATATAATCTTTAAAAAAAAAAATCATGTAAGTTACCCATGATGGTTACAGAAATACTAGCAAATAAAAATAAGCAAAAAGAAGGAAAGAATCCATAATGGCATCACTCTGAAGCAGCCAGTTTAAATGTTGATAATGCATTCGTATATAATATATACATTGCACATTCAAAAATGAGATCGTAATATATATGCTGCCTTGTAACCTCCTATTTTTCTTTGAAAAAAAAATGTTAAGAAATCTGCATCTGTACAAGTGGCATCGAGACTTCTTTCAGGTAGTAAGATCTATTCCTCAAATATAATTTTATCTTGAGCCCAGAAACATGCAGAAAGCTTGGGGAGCACAGGTGGAAGCTGGGTGACAGCCAGCACCGCCCAGACCTCCCTGGAACAGTCCAACAGATGAGCCCCCTGGGGGCGAGTGTGTGAAGTGCAATCTGAAGAGCACCGATAACATTTTTTTCCCAGTTACACTAAACTCCAACTTTATCAGTAGTAGCATCTGACACTATGTCTTTCTCTTCTTATTGACATTTTCCTAATTATTCTCATATTTATTTTTCCTAAAGAGCCTTAAAATTGTCAGCTTCTCTGGAGTTGTTGCCTAAGGCAACTACCACTTTAGGGAAAAGCAGTAAAAAATCAACTTTGGCTTTCCCTTTTCCTCCTCTGCCCTTGGTTAGCTGCCATTGCCGCATGCCTGTCTAGCTAATGTGACTCCCTTGGGCCTCTTCCTGCTCCAAGACTCTCCACAGCGAGCCCTGCCATTCTGGGGGAAATCTCTTTCTCGCACCTTCTCTCGGTGAGTGGCATAAACCCCTAACCCCGCCCCTTACAGATGCTCTTAAATTGCAATGAGCTGAGCATGAAAATGACTCCAGCTTAGGTCATGCTCCGTATTCATCTGTTGCCCTCACCCTGTAAACTGTGAGGATCTTTTCAGTCTCTACAAGGCCGTGTAGCTTTCCCAGGGGCTAAACTGTAAATTGACACTTGGCTTCTGTGTTTAATCTGCTCGCTTGCATGCTGGGAATTTTTTGAAGTTTCTGGTATGTGGATGGCTCCTTTCCTTGGCTCCCGTTCCAGCTACAGGTCTCCCTTGTTTTTACGTTTCTTCTGTGACATTAGTTGGGACTGGGCAGAAGACGGAGGATGGCTAATGTCCGTTTCCAAACTTTCATCTTTCCCAGAAGCTATTGAAGATGATTATTTTCTAAGTGCCCTACAATGAGCCTCTGTTAATTTTGTAGTGGGGAATAATTTGTTTTACATCTTTTTCAAAGAGAACTATAATATTCATTGCTGCCCTTCCTGTGATTTAGGGCACTGTTCATAATATTACAGAATGTCTTCCAATATTGGTTGTATTTTCCGTGAACAGTTGAATTTTTTTGCCTAATCAATGTGGTAACACATGTAACTGACCACGTTCCCCACTTAATTAAGGGTCCTAAGCCTCCACCTCTAGTAAGTATCCTGGGACTCCCATCATGCAATTTTTAGACTTATTTTCCCTTCACTTTGATTTCTTCACCTTAAAATGCTCTGGCACATGTGTGTTTTTCTCCACCACATTCGATCCTTTCTGGAGCCTGCCTGGCATAAACAAATAGATGGATGAATAAGTGTGCCCCACCTTTGCACACTTACATCATGGAATGTTTCCCCCATTTCCCCTGCCCCATCCCATTCCCTGCCTCCTCCTTGACCTTAATAACTAGGGCTTGACTATGCCCAGAAAACTTGATGCAAGTCTCACACCTTCACAGAACAGACAAATCAAATAACTGAGGAAAAGCCCGAGAAACAGGTGTAAATTCTATTTAAAAAATAATTTCAAAACCACTTTGTTGAGGTATGATTGGCCTACAAAAGGCTATAGAAATTTAACACGTACAACTTGATGTCTTTGGACATATGTATACACCCGTATAATCATCATCACAATCAATGCCATAAACTTACCCATCACCTCCAGAAGCTTCCTCCTATCCTCTTTGTTTTGTCTTGTTTTTCACTTTTGTGGTAAGAGCAATTAACATAAGATCTACCATCTTAGCAAAATTTTAAGCATACAACACAATATCGTTAATCATATGCTCTATGTTGTACAGTACATTTCCAGAACTTATTTATTTTGCATGACTGTAATAAATTAATTTTCATTATACACAACACATTGATATTTTTTGTATAAAAATTACCACTTTGCATATATTAATAAGTTCCTGTGGTCATTCCTGGTAGCTAGTCCAACTCCCAGATGTGAGGACTAATGTCAAGTTGGTGTATGTCATTGCAGACAGTTGCTCATTATTCCTAGAGCTCTCTTTCATGTTCTTTCCTTGTGCTCTTCTCTCTCTCTGTACACAGTACCTTGTATTGTTTTCAGTTTTGACTTTATATTAATGTTATCATACTGCATGGATTTTTGTTGTTTTATCACTCAACATGTGATGTGGATATATTCTTGTCAATGCATATTACTGCCCATGGCCCTATCACATTGAGAAGCAGGATATATAGTAGGTACAGGCACCCAAGCTAGACCCGATTACCTGAGTTCAAATCCTGCCCCTGTACTTACTAGCTATGTGAAGTTTGCAAATTACTTTAACTCTCTGAATAACAATTGCCTTGACTGTAAAATGCAGATAATGATAGAATCTATCTCACAGAGCTGTTATGAAGATTAAAGTAATTAAATTATGTAAAGAACTTAGAATCATGAATGGTACTTAATATACAATCAATAAACCCAAACTACTGACACTTCTATCATAGGAGAGTTAGCCATTCCTCCACTGAGAGACATTAAGGTTAGCATTAAATTCCTGCTATTCTAAGCAATACTACAAAATACAACACATAATACATATGCACATATGTGAGTGTTTCTCCAGAGTAGATACCAAGAAGTCATGTCAAAAGGCTGTACATGTTATGTTTTAATGAGATGTTAACTTGCCGTTCAAAATATCTGTTCCAATTTATACCCCTGTCAATAGAAAATATTACCATATCTATCTCTCCACCTTCTTGCAGGTTGTTGATGACAGTAATTATATTTATGCTAAATTTCTGCTTTCTCTATTAAATTTGCATTTTTAGGTGCAAATTCCATGGAGCATTATTTTGAATGTGTTATCTATTTTCCACAGTTTAGATCTTGTCACATTTCTTATGACATTTGATTGCACCTCATCTTTGTAGTCAAGATTGCCTGTTAGGTTCTTTATTTTATCAGATTTCATGGTGGCTTGAGGAACAGAAGTAGAGGTCCCTAAAAACACTGGCTTCTTACTTGCTTTCAGGGTGCAGGGAGGCTAGCGTGGGTGGAGCAATGGGCCGCTAGTCTTGTGAGTAGAAACAGATCATCCTTCTAGGGCACATTGATTTCCAGGACCCCACTCTGTCTCTTCAAACCCAGTGTTCCCACTAAGATCTCTACTTGGGAGCAGAGACCTATCTCCTGTCTGGGATGGGGAGGGTGGTAGGAAGGGAGACATGCTGTGGCTAACCCCCTGTGCTGTGCTTCAGAACCTCCCTGTCAGTTGCCCCTGTCCTCTCCTGCACTGGCCATTTATGCAGTCTGCTCAGGAAGTGCTCTAAACACTTCTGAATCACTGCAGCCTCGCTTGGGGGTACCACAGGCTGTGTGGATTCAGCAAAGTGGATCCAGCAATTCACCTTCCTTAAGGATTCTAAACCATCTGTAGGAATGATCAGTCAGTATTCTCCCAGGGGCTCAAGACTGGCTCTCTCTCTCTCTTCCCCTTTCCTTTTGATGGAGGCTCGCCCTGTCACCCAGGCTGGAGTGCAGTGACATGACCATAGCTCACTGAAGCCCCAAACTCCCCAGCTCAAGCAATGCTCCCGCCTCAGCCTCAGCTAAGGCTACAGACTGCATCCAGCTATATGTTTTTTTTTTAATTTATTTTTTGTAGAGACAGGAGTTTCTCTGTTTTGCTCAGGGTAGTCTTGAACTCCTGGCCTCAAACAATCCTCCTGCCTTGGCCTCCCAGAATGCTGAGATTATAAGCATGAGATATCATGCACCACCCCAAGCTTTCTTTTCTGTACCTTTTCAGACAGTCAGACCCATGAAGTGGGGTGGGGAAAGAGTTGGAAGAAGAGAACAGAGGGGAGCAGGAAGGGAAGAAAGGGGGAGGAAGAGAATTATTATTAAGGGTAAAACATTAGTGAAACAATTAGTGAAAACAATTCCACTCTTGCCCATGGCCAGCTCACCTCCTTGCAGGAACTTCATGGGGTAGACAATGGCATGGTATCTGTCTATGCTGAGGGACACCAGGACATAGGTAGAGGCGTAGAGCAGCACGACCTAAAGACAGAAGTGAGGGGTGGTATGTGACTTCGTAGAGATGAGGGATTGCACAGAATAGAAAGAATAACATTTGGTGCCATTTAGAAACCTGGGAATTGAAACAAGGTAGGGATGAGAGTTGGGGTGGGGAGGAAAGTAACTGACTCTCCATGCAGGAAGCAGATTTTGTTTCTTGGTGCTGGAATTTGCGTTGCTAGCCATGATGCGTGAGATTTTTTTCCAGCTCTTTCTTGATTAGTCATTCACTTGGCTTCTTGGAAACGCCATATTTCAGGATCAGTCCTTCTTGACATTTGCATGGTACATTTGTTTGTAATTAACTTTTAAAGCTAAACTAATTTTCTCTGCCACAATTGATGTTCCAGAATAATTAGAAACAAAAGTTCATTTGTCTTTTATCAGTGCAAGTTGCTGAGAGATGATAGAATGGCTCTGGTTTCAGGGAGCCCATGTGCTGTCTAGGAGCATTTGTCATCGCCAGGGCTGACGCCATCAGAGGGCTCCTCCTCTCCCTCCACTTCACTAGGATCAGGCCCTGCATCTCCTCTTTCTCCTTGCCACTCTCTCTTTTAACAGATTTACTCACACTATTTAATTATCTTGAGTATAGTACTATTTGTGTATTTAGCAGAAAAGGAAATTGGGGTAGAAGAAGGTAATATCTCTCATAAGAGGAGCATGTTTATTTCATACTAAATGAAATATCTCTGAAAGGATGCTCAAGGTGAAAAATTTCCAGGTAACTTGGAGCCTCATTTCTACCAAGAGTCCAGCTATGTCTCTGCTTTGTAACCCTCAGGATCGAATCCAGAGGGAGTAGAAGAGTAACTGAAGTCTAAAGGTGAGTGTCTGTCTCCTTGGCAATCACCTTCATTCTGAATTTGTACCTTTTTGTTCCTTCCCTGGCTCAGACAAATAACAGCCAACTATTGTTTGGTCTCATGGCCAACACTGTTGTCATTCTTCATTATTTTTTTTTGTTTCTATAGCACCACCCCAAAGGCATCTCAGCACTAAGTGTTGGGGAAGGTGCTGTATAGGGAGGGGCTGCTGAGGAATGATCAGAGATCGGAAGCTCTTCTGGGGGTTATAAGAAGAAATTCTCCTCTTGCAAAAAAAGGTGATAGATGGAGAAAGAGAAAAAGGATTGCTAAGTTTAAGAAAAAAAAAAATCAGACAATTTTCTACTTAGAGAAAACGTAGGTTTCTATGTGTCATCCATGAATTCGAAGTTACTAAGGCCGGCTACACACAGGAGAGGAGCTGGTGGCATCAGAGAAGGGTAGGGAAGAGAGCGCCCAATGGCAGAGCCCTTTAGGGTGCAAGGTCACGGCGAGAAGGTCGTCAGCATCCGGGACATCTGCAGCTGTCACGAGTGAGGGGCCTACACAGTTCAGAATCTGGAGCAAGAGGAAGAGTCACAAAAATACGGTGTCCAGAGGAGCAGGCAACGCTGACAAAAAGACATTGACTTTGAGACACAATCAAAAAGAGTATTCAATTTCAGAGATTAAACATCTTTAAACATCTAGGCAGGGTAAAAAAAAAATTAAAGGTTACCTAAAAGAAATGCATCTCAAATTATCATGCCTCTTCTCCACAAAAATAAATGCCAGAAAACAGTATAAAAACACGTTCGGAGTTTTGAAAGAAAATTTGTGATCCAAGAACTTTGTAAATATCATTTCTGTGCCAAGGCATAGAACAACTTTCTTAGAAATATAAAAGGAAGAAAATGTAACATCATATACTCTTCTTGAAGATGCTCCTTGAGAAAATACTCAGCTGATTGAGAATTGTTTCAAAATTAAGAACTCAAGAAGAAAAAAGGAGATAGAAAAATAACAACTATGGTAAGCAATGAAGTTAGAAAAACAGAAAGTGTTTACAAAATAATTATAAAAATAGACAGAGAACATTTCAGAAATCTAAGGAGTTGAGTAAGAAGAGACAGTAAAAGGAAACAAGTTATGTTAAATTTCTATTTAGACATTTTAGATATCTCTTTTGTTTTTTACTTTGATAGAGATATAGTAAATCTAAATTAAAGAGAAGCTATGCTATAATAAAATAAAGAAAATTAGTGTATTAGTTTCCTATGGCTACTACAAAAAATTACCACAAATCTGGTGGCTAAAAACAACATAAATTTATTCTCTTACAGCTCTGGAGAGTAAAAGTCCAAAATCCGTTCTACTGGGCCAAACTCAGGGTGTAAGCAGGGCCAAGGTTCCTTCGGAGACTCTAGAGGAGAATCCGCCCCTTGCCTCTTCTAGCTTCAAGTGGCTGCCCGCATTCCTTGGCTTGCGGCTGCATCAGCCCAATCTCTGCCTCTGTGGTTATAATCCTTCTCCTCTTCTCTCTGCGTGTCACATCCCCTTCTGCCTCCCTCTTATGATTGTATTTAGGACTCACTGGGATAATCCAGGATAATCTCCCCATTTTAAGGTCCTTAACTTAATTGCATCTACAGAGTTCATTTTTGTCATATAAGTTAACATATAAAAGTTCCAGGGATCAGGATATGGCTAATTGGTGGGCCCTTTTTTTTTTTTTTTAGCTTACAATTAATAACCAAGTAAAAAGAAAAAAAATCCCCAATAAATAGCAAGACAAACTTAACACAGGAAGATTAAAATGAAGTGACTGAAATAGTAATAATACTAAACACTATCTGTCACAATAAATATGAATGGTTTAAGCTCCTTTGCTAAAACAAAGACCATTAAAAACACCAACCTTCCCTAAAATTCAACTCTATACTGTTTAGATGAGAAACCTCGAACATGAAATGATATCTAAGTTTAGAAGTAGAAGGATGGTCAAAAGTAATCAAGCAACTAAACACTAAAAGTAGGCATTCATGACAATACTGCTATTAGACAAATTAAATTTAAGGCAAATAACACGTGATAAAGGATTATTTATATTGACAAAAGATATAATACAGAATGGCAATAGAATATTCATAAATTTATATTAACAAGTAATATAACTATATATAACAAGTGTGTTCAAAATTTTACAGATGAAAAAACACAAAAATCTATAGATAGAAAAAAATTAAACTTAGTATATAAGAATGATATACATTGCTATAGAATACCTAGGCAATGTTTCAAAAATTGGTCCTATTCTGAACTGCTAAGGAAAAAAAAAAACCCTTAAGCCCTCAATATTTCCAAAAAGTAGGATTTATGCAATTTGCATATTTAAAACAATGAGCAATGAAGCTGAAATTGGTAACATTTAAAAAAAAATACCACTTGGAAATTTAAACACCCTCATAATTAACTTGAGTCAAGAAGGAAATCAAAGTACAATTATAGTCAATTCATAAATGTCAACAATGAAAACTCCACACATCAACAACATATGGGACACCATTCGGAGAACAGATGGCAGCTTGGGGACATATGTCTGAATTCTCACTACCCCACCCCTTAATTCTGACAGAAATGACCTAGGAAATAGAAAACTCAAGAAAATCTTGCACAGAGAAGTGAGATTCAAATGCTAGAAACAGAGAAATTTTACTTAGAAAAATGCCAGATTGTATTCATATATAAAGGAGGATCCCTGGACTGACACTAAGAAAATAGACTTTATTTTTCAGAACCATTTTATGTTTACAAAAAAAATTGCAGATATTGCAGAGAGCTTTCATATTACCCCTCTCCCATTCATGCAGTTTCTCCTATTATTAACATCTCGCATTAGTGTGGTACATTTGTTAAAACTGATGGATAAATACTGACACAGTATTATTAACTAAAGTCCATTGTTTACATTAAGGTTCACCTTTTGTGTTGCACAGTTTTATGGGTTTTGACAGTTGTATAATGTCATGTATTCATCAGTACAGGAGCACACAGAAAAATTTCACCGTCTTAAAAAGCCCTGGTGCTTTATCTATTCATCTTGTTCCTCCTCTAAATTTCAGGCAATTGCTGATTTTTTGCTATTCTATACTTCTGCCTTTTTTAGAAGGTAATATATTTGGAATCATATAGTATGTAGCTTTTCAGAGTGGCTTCTTTCACTTACCAATGTGCATTTAAGATTCCTCCATGTCTTTTCATGGCTTGATAGCTCCCTTTGTTTTATCACTGAATAATATTCCATAGTATGGATATACCACAATTAATTTATCCATTCAGCTTTTGAGGAACATCTTGGTTGCTTCCAGGTTTTGGTGATTAGAAGCTGCCATAAATATTCTCGTGTGGATTTAAGTGTCAACTCAGGTGTGTAAATACCTAGGATTACAATTGCTGGATTGTGTGGTTAAACTGTATTTAGCTTTATAAGACATTACTAAGTTTTCTTCCAAAGTGAATATCATTTTGAATTCCCACCAGTAATGAATGAGAGTTTCTGTTAATATACATCCTCATTAGACATTGGTATGGTCAGGTTTTTGCATTTTAGCCATTATCTAATGTGTGCAGTGGTAGCTCATTGTTGCTTTAATTTGCATTAATTAAATTTAATTTAACTTGCATTAATTGCATTGTTGCTTTAATTTTCTCTAATGACTTATGATGTTGAGCTTCTTTCCATATACTTACTTGCCATCTTCTTGGTGAGGTGTCTGTTCAGATCTTTTGCCTATTTTTTGAGTAGGTTGTTTGTTTCCTTATTGTTGAATTTTAGCAGTTCTTTGTATATTTTGGATGCACGTCCTTTATGAAATATCTATTTTGCAAATATTTTCTCCCATTCTGTAGGTTGCTTTTTCATTCTCATAAACAGTGTCTTTCACAGAGAAGCTTTAAGTTTTCATAAAGTCCAACATTTCAAATTTTTTCATGGATTGTGCGCTTGGTGTTGTATCTAAAAACTTATCAACAAACCAAAGGTCTTCTAGATCCTCTCCTATGTTATCTTCTAGTAGTTTTATACTATTGAGTGTCACATTTATATCTATGATCTATCGTGCATTTGTTTTTGTGAAAGGTAGAAGGTCTTTGTTCACACAGTTTTTGTATTTTGGC